CCTGCTCTTCCCTCCCTGGACTCTGATTCCCAGGAGCTCTCCAGCCCCACAGCAACACCCCTGGATGCCGGGCACAGGTTTGGGCACACAAAGCTGCTGGGAGAAATTCAAAGCCAGCCCTGAGGGTCTCATCCCATGGGTCACACAGCTGGGGGGGCTTTTCCAGCTGCCTTCCCAGCCCCAGCTCATTCCAACATGGCAATGCCTTTATCCCAGAGACCTGTGGAGCAGCAGGAAAGAGTTGAGCTCAGGGATGTGCAAATAAGCCGCTTGCAAAACCAAGTTTAAAAAGCTGAGTTTGGGGTAGGAACCCTGAAATAAAACACTTTATTTCTAGATTTTGGCAGGGAAAAAAATTCCAACTCCTTCCCATATCCTAAAAAACAGTGATGGCACAGCCCAAAGATGCCTCTAAGGAAGTTGTCAAACCTTGGGATGAAAACAAAACTGGAGGAGCAGGTAAAAGGTAGAGGCTCCAGCGTAGGTAAATTGCTTTTTAACAAGGAGATAAGGCCCATCCCTGGCATCTGCCGTATGTTTTTATAAAGCCCAGAAATATGTTTTTAAAAGGCCAGTAAATAAAGTTCCTATCGATTTGATCTCCAGTGTAATCTGTTTTTCTGTCTGCCACCACGAGTGGTAATAAAAGGGAATCAGGGGACGCGGGTTTGGGTTAATGCAGCGATCCATCATCGTCGGGGGCTTTGCTTTGCTGCACAATTGAGAAACTGCCCCAAATTGGTGCAAGGGCCAATTTTCTTTTCCAATTTATTTTTGCTTGAGCAAAGCAATATCGAGGCAGGACAAGGAGGATGCGTTTCCCGTCGTTCCAGATGTTCTCCTGCTTCCCTGGCCTGGGAAAGAGCCTCCAGCAGCTCCTCAGTTGGGGATTTTGGGAAGGTGCTGTGGGTACTTGGGTGTTTGGGGTTTTGAGGTCAGGTCTTTGCAGAAGGACCCAAAGTGGGATTGGGATGTGCTCAGGAGAGTTTTCCAGTGGGGATTGAGCATCCCAGGGCTGATCTCCCATGGATTGAACATCCTGAACATCCCAGGGCTGCATTTCCTATGGATCAAACACCCTGAACATCCCAGGGCTGATCTCCCATGGATTCAGCATCCCAAAAATGCCAGGGCTGCCTTTCCCATGGATCAAACATCCTGAACATCCCAGGGCTGCATCTCCCGTGGTCTGAACATCCCAGGATCACATCTCCCATGGATTCAGCATCCTGTACATCCCAGGGCTGCATTTCCCAGGGATGGAACATCCTGGGGCTGATCTCCCGTGGATTGAACATCCTGAACATCCCAGGGCTGCATTTCCTATGGATAAAACATCCTGAACATCCCAGGGCTGATCTCCAGACATTCCCAGCTCTCTGGCCACCAGGAGAGAGCAGTTAAAGAATTTTCCAGGGTATCCAAGCCATCCATAACCACTCTCCTGTCGCTGGCAGTGCATTTCTGACTCCTTTCCCCGAGCCTGTTTCTCACAGAGATGCCCCCACACAGAACTGGTGCCCTCATGGCACTAAAAACTGCCCCAGAATGGTTTTTTTGGGCATTAATAGATGTTTGATAAAGCCGAGTTTGACAGCTCAGTGTTTAAACATCACAAAATACTCAAAATCCACCCTAAAATGATGCTTTAAAGTCCCCCGGGCCAGGTTTTGCTGCCATCAGAGCTCAGCTTTGCACGATGCCACCCCACTTTCAGCTCCTTCACCACAAACCATCCATGTTCCCTTCTCTGAGGAGCACAAAGGTGACCTCGAACCCATCCCAAATATCTGGGATGAGGATGGGAAACCTCCCGTTCCTCCACCTCCCCCCTCGGGAAAAACTGATAAACATTTCTAGAGAGAAAAACAAACACTCCGCATTTGGCTTTTTTGGTGGTTGTTTTTCTTGAAGAGACAAAGTGTTCCACAGAGAGCCGACACTTCCTACACAAGTTTGCATCCTCAAACCCCGAGATTTTCTTCTGCCATGGATTTGGATGGGAAAAGCAGCTCCAGCCCTTCAGCCAGCCCTGCCCACCCCATCCAGGATCACTGAGCTGGAGAATCCCACTGGAGCACCACAGGGAGATGGAGATCTCCTGGCTTTGCCAAATTTTCCCACTCTCATTTGGGAATAAATTAGGAATAATCAAATTTCCTGCGTTTAGAAATACCCCCATAAAGCACAAAAACAACTCTCATGCCTCAGCTCTTGTTCCCACTCAATTTAAAGTGAATTTGGGAGGGAAAAATATTATCCCAGAGCATCCTTAGAGGTTCAGAGTAAGAAAATTGTATATGCCTATTAAACAAAACAACCTGAGGAAACTGAGACAAAAATCCTCTACGAGGGGTTTAAGGGCACCCAGTCCCTTCCCAAGATGAATTCCTGGTTTGGATATTGAAGCTGGATCATTCCCAGCTGCATGGAGCCGGGGAGGCATTTTTGGGGAAGGCCAGAGGAGAATCCCACCCCAAACCCGAGAGGCAGCGGGGCCCCGTGTCCTCAGATGCCGCCTCAGCGCAAGATGTGCCGAGATGTCTTGGAAGGAAACGGTGCCAAATCCATCAGCGGAGCCATTCCCGATGCCAGCGGGAGCTGCCGGCTGTGCCAGGGGCTCCCTGGGGGACCTGCCACCCGCCCTGAGGCACAGCTGGAATTCCATCCCAAAATAAACAGGTGCCACCCACCAGCTCAGCCAGGGCGGATTCCCTTCCCTGCTTTTTGTGGATTCTGGGATGCACAGCCTGCATCCCACTGGCACAGCCTGCAAGGGTCTGGCTCTTGTCCCCAAAATCCTTCCCACAGCCGTCAGCAGCAGCGTTCCATCCCCGGAGAGTCCCTTCCCTTCTCCCGGCCCCGCTTTGCTTTCCAGGACTAAAATTAAAGGAGAAACAACTGCCCACATCCCTGGGAATCTTCAAACTCCCGGGAAGCCGGGGATGGGTCTGTGCGCGGCAGCCTCTGCCAGGAAGGAGGATTTTTTGGGGAAGAATCAGACATCTTTAAGGAAAAGTTCTCCTTCCAACCATGTGATCCGCAGGGGGAAAAGACTTCCCAGGCGGCGGGGAAGAGCTGGAAAAGCGGATTATTCACGCTCCGAGGTAACTCCAGCAGAGCCGACTTCTCCCTTAGCGGCTCCCAGGGCCGGAGCTGGCGATGGGAATTCCGGCAATTATTGGGATCGGGCGGGTTTTGGGGTGCCGGGATTTCTCTGGGATTTGGGAACGCCACGAGACAGTGCCGCATCCTGGGACAGCTTTGGGATGAGGGCAGAGCGCGGGGTGTCCCCTAAAATATCCCAATTTCACCCTTTATTGTCCCCTCTCCGTGCCCGCGGCTCCCCCGGCACGGCCCGCGGGAGATCCCGGTTCTTTTTCCCAGTTATCCCAGTTATTCCAGTTATCCCAGTTATCCCAGTTATTCTAGTTATCCCAGTTATTCCAGTTATCCCAGTTATCCCAGTTATTCCCGGTTATTCCCGGTCCGGCGGCGCTGGAGCTCGGGCAGTTCAATGCTGCCACCCGGTGGTGGCAGGAGGGAACAGCAGCACCGGGATTCCCAACCCCATCCCAAATTCCATCCCAAATTCCATCCCAAATTCCATCCCAAATTCCACCGGGATCCAGCAGGAGATCCCAGAGTCCGAGACCGGGATGGCTTTGAAAAGTTGCCTAAAAAAAATTGTAAAAAAAATCAAGTTTCCAGTGGAAACTTTTCAATTTCTTTCCTTTTATTTTTTTTTTTTTTTGGGTTTTTTCGGGTTTTTTTGGCTGAATTGTGGCATAAAAACGCTGGAGTAAAAAAAACAGTGATCAGAATACGCCAAAAAATTAAGTGGCCAAAGTAGAGGAAACAAAATTGAAATGGCCAAAATACAGCAAAAATTATAAATATTCTGTGGCCACAACATAGAAATAAAATTAATTAAACTTTCCTCTGTGTGTAGCTGTTTTATTTCTATTTTTCCTACATTGTGGCCTTTTAATTCCCTTTTTTAAAAATAGTCATGATGAAGCACAAAATTAAATCATTAGGAGGCTGCAAATAGCAAAAAATTAAATGATTATGTGGCCACGTGTAGCAGGAAAAAAATTTAATTTCTTTACTACATTCTGACCACTTAAAGGGTCACAGTATATAAAAAAAATTGTTTTAAAAGTTAATATAGAGAAAATTATAAATGGCTGCATTTATAGGGGAAATAATGGTTACAATGCAGCAAATATTCTAAACTGAGGTGTGGTGATATGGTGAAAATAATTTGTTAAATGGCTACAGCGTGGCTGGAATAGCTGTGAAATGGGTGCAATGTAGAAAAAAAAATAAATTAGCAAAGGGCCAAAGGGAAGAAAGTATAAAATATAAAAATCAAAACACAAATACAAAAATATCAAAATACAAAAAAAACCCCAAAATAAAATACAAAAAAAAAATTAAAATATAAAAATACAAAAAATATAAAAATACAAAACATATAAAAATATGAAACACAAAAATATGAAACACAAAAATATGAAACACAAAAATACGAAACACAAAAATACGAAACACAAAAATACGAAACACAAAAATACGAAACACAAAAATACGAAACACAAAAATACGAAACACAAAAATACGAAACACAAAAATACGAAACATAAAATATGAAACATAAAATATGAAACATAAAATATGAAACACGAAAATATGAAACGCGAAAATATAAAACGTAAAAATATAAAACAAAAATATAAAACATAAAAATATAAAACATAAAAATATAAAAGTGGTTTCAGTCCAGTAAAAAAAAAAATCTGAATGTGAGGGAAGATGATTTAATAACCACAGCTCAGGAAAAAAATAAAAACAAATCACAAAAATATCACCAAAAAAAGGCAATTCCATTTATCCACAACTCAACCTCCAACCAAACCCCTGAATCAATGAGAAAAAATGGGAATAAAGCTCCAGAAGCCATCCCGATCCCAGGAAAAGCCGGAGCGGGGCCTCACCTTCTTTGCCCAGGGGTAGCGGACGCGAGGTTTGCCCCACTCCAGGCTGAGCTTCTGGCGGTAGCCGTGGCACTTGGGGATGTAGGCGCAGCTCACGTCGCCCACCTCGGGGTAGATGACTTCCAAATCTCCTCTGGAAAAAGGAGAGAGGGAGAAAAATGAAGCCTGGCCCTGCTGGAGGTGGGAATCAGGATGGGGTTGGGAGCGCTGGGATGCAAAGGTGGGAGAAGGGAAGGTCGGGCTCTGTGCGTTCTCACCAGGGGCAGAGGGAATTTAAGTGTTCTTCAGCAGATTTGGGGAAGGAATTCCTGGCTGGGAGGGTGGGGAAGGGCTGGGATGGAATTCCCAGAGGAGCTGTGGCTTCCCCTGGATCCCTGGAAGTGCCCAAGGCCAGGTTGGATGAGCCTGGGACAGTGGGAGGTGTTGGGCTTGGAGCTGGATGGGTTTTAGGGCCCTTCCCACCCAAACCATCCCAGGATTCCATGGAAAAGCATGGAAAATCCTCCTTCCTTTGAAGTTTTCCATGGAAAACTTCTGTCATTCCTGACGTCGCACAAGTCACTTCCAAAACCTTTACAAAGGAGGCCGGGAAACAACTCCAGGAGCTCCGACACAGCCCGGATTCCCGGGAAAAGGAGGGGAATAGCCCAAACGTAGAGCCCTGGCCAAGGGGACGCTGGGACGAGCTGTGCCAGGAGCTGACACGAGGGGCACGAAGGGCACAGCCAGGCTGGCCAGGGGCTCACCTGCAGAACTCATGGTCGGACTCGCTGAGGGTCTGGAAGATGCAGGTGCGGGAGGCCTCGTTGCCCCAGGCGCCGGGAAGGATCAGGATAAGCGCCACCAGCACGGCCTCCAGCAGCTTCATCCTGCCCTGGGGACAAGGGGACAGCGAGGGTCAGCCCCACCGGGACCCCCCCAGAGCTCCAGGCAGAGCATCCCAATCCTCGCTCGTCGTTTCCATCACCAGCACCACGACTTTATCCCGTTCATTCCAGAGCTGAGCCGGTTCCTGCTGCTCCCCCTTGCCGGGAACCCCCAGGATGAGCCCACAGCTCAGAGAACCCTTTCCCACAAGTCCTGTGCACAGGGAATGTGCCCATGTGGTGACACCACGCTCCAAACCCAGCTCCAAGAGGGGACAGAGTGCCCATCTCCACGTGCTGCTCTCCCAAACGCCAAGGGAAATTGGGATCAGGGGTGGCTGAGGTCTATCCGAGACCACCCCCAAAGCCACAGGACCAGCCAGGACCCCGGGACCTGTCCCCAACCCGGGGGTCCCTGCAGGGGAGCAGCACCGTGACCCAGCCACCCCCTCCAGGGTTTTTCCCGCACCGGGCCAACTCTAGCCGCCCATTTTTAACCACACGAAGCCTCGAGGGGGATGAGGGGACACGGGCTTGGGTCCCCCACCCCCCTGCCAAGCCCAGCTCCAGCCCTCACCTCTTCACCTCCCTCTGGAGCCGGTAGCCACGGGCCACCAGGGGCGAGCGGGCCCTGCCGAGCACTTACCGGGGTCCTGGGGACGGCTGAGCAGCTCCGAGGCAGAAGCCCGGAGGTTTGAGGTTGCCGTGGAGATGGTTTCCTTGGAAGAAAAGGACAGAGGGACCGGGAATGAAAGTCAAAGCCCGGGGAAGGGGCAGCCGGGTGCTCCGGATCTGCCAACGGCTTTTTAACCCTTCAGCAACCGCCCCCAACCGCCCCGAACAGGCACCGGGTGCTGCCCGACCCAGCCCCCCCGGCCGCACCTGCAGCTGCTCGGGCTCTTTAGGAGCCATGGGAGCCCAACTTTGGGGTCTCCTCCATCGCTAGGGATGAGGAGCCCCGGGAAGGGATCGGCTGCGGAAAGAGGCACGTGCGAATAAATAAAATAAAATATAAAAATAAAAATGAGAATAAAAGAGAGCCCGGTGTGAGTTGGGAATGGGGATTACAGCAGCGAGGGGATCATTATATAATGGAGCTGTGGCTGCACGCTCGGAGAACACGAGCGAGCCCGGCGAGAGAAAGAGGCGCCGGCTTTAACTAATTAGAAACATTAATGGATTGGGAATGATCGGGAGCTTTTAGGGGCTTAATGGCTCCCGTTCCCACGCTGCCGAGATGGGTACAGCCCGTAATTAGAGCCCTGAGCCGGCAAATGGGCTCACGTTGAGTCAGGCTTTTCCCAGGAATGCCGGGCTGGCTGAGTCAGGAGCGCCCGGAGCGGGGTTTGAACCCTCACGGGGTCACTGGGACCGGGGGTGGTGAAAATTCGGGATGCCCAGCTCGGGGCGAAGGTGTTGATGAGCAGAAAATGCCCCGAAATGTGGTCATGGGATGGTGAGAAAGGCAGGAATTTCCTTGGGGAAATGGGGATGGAAGTTTAACAAGACGTAGAGAATTGGGCACCGGGAGAAGGGGAGATGTGGACAAGGAACTCCTGGTAAAACATGGAATAGTTTGGGTTGGAAAGACCTGAGATCCCATCAGTGCCATCCCTGCCATGGGCACCTTCCCCTGTCCCAGGCTGCTCCAAGGGATCCAGGGGCAGCCAGAGCTCCTCTGGGAATTCCATCCCTGTCCCTTCCCCCCACTCCCAGCCAGGAATTCCTTCCCAATATCCCACCCAAATCTCCCTTTTCCCAGTGGGAGCCATTCCCTGTGTCCTGTCCCTCCATCCCTTGTCCCCAGCCCCTCTCCAGCTCTCCTGGAGCCCCTTCAGGCCCTGCAGGGGGCTCTGAGCTCTCCCTGGATCCTTCTCCTCTCCAGGGGAACATTCCCAGCTCTCCCAGAATCCGGAGGGGATCCAGCCCTCGGAGCAGCTCTCTGGCCCCCAGGTGTGGCTCAGGATCCTCTCCAGTCCCTTTGCAGTGTTTTGGGGGTTTTTTGTGACCCCTTTGCAGAGGTTCCCCAAACAACACCGAGAACCCAAAAGGAGATGAACTCAGAACAGGGAATTTTTATTTTTCCAAGCCCAGAGGCTGAGAAAAGCCCTTTGCAGAGCCAATATCAGCTCCTTCCACCTGGAGACCTCCCACAGATCATCCCAAAAGGATTTGCCAATGGAAAAAGTGCAGGGGGATCCCCCAGGGATGTTCAGGAAGCAAAACTCATGGGAGCAACAATTTTCCAGCATCCCATGGAAGACAAACCATGGTTTCCTCCCTAAATAAAAAAAAAAAAAAAAAAAAAAAGAGAGAGAAAACAGTATTTTTTACACCTTTTACTTTTTTTTTCCCCAAAGATTTTATTTCCTCCACTCTGGAGACAGAGTTTAAAGGGCAGCAGGGAATGTGCCCAGCTCCTATGGATAAAATATCCATGGGAAAGCACCGCCAGGGCTGGACACCCTCTCCCGTGTGATGCTCCTGAGGGGCAGGAATCCACCGGAATATTTAAATTTTTAAACCTCCGTGTTTTGAAACGCAGGTCGGGGTGACTCCAGAGCCACTGGCTTTGCTGTCCCTGCCACATTCCTGGAAAACTGAGCCCAGGGGTGGGCAATTTCCTCCTCCTCCTCCTGTCTGTGCCTGGAGCTCTCCCAGCTGGGGAAAAACAGGAAAAAAACACCGGGAGAGGCAGCAGTTTCCTGTCTGGAGCAGGATCCTGCCTGGGAAAAGGCAGCTCGTGGTGTCAGACCAGGTCCTGAGCTGAGCCCGGATCCTGGCCCGGCCATCCCAGGGTGTTCCCAGGCTCTCTAAGCCCTGCAGGAATCTCGTTTTTCCAGCCGGGAGCCTCTGGGTGTGAGGTTCAGAGGTAGAGGGAAATCCAGAAATTCCCCCACACTCCAGGATGGGATGAGACATCAAGAGATGCTGCCCTGAGCATCAAAATTTTCACCTTTTTTGGGGGTAAAAACATGATTGAAAACCTGTTTGAAACCCCTCAGCTCTGCCAGCTTCCACGAGGGATATTTCCCAATATTCTGGAAATAAAGCTTTCAAAAGTAGCCAGCACGAGATTAATTTAATTAATCAAATGAGGGAATCGATGGAATAAAATCGCTGCAGTCCCAACAACAATTCACATGGGGGCAGATATTTAAATAGAGATGCAAACAGCTCTGAAAGGTGCTAAAAACCTCTCAGAGCTGGCAAAACCAAGCAGTAGGTGAGGAAATGATTTCCCTGCTCATATCAGAGATTAAAAAGCTCTTAATGAAAAGCAGCCACCTGAAGTCAGGGAAGGGAAGGAGAAGTCTGGGGCTTGTTTTAACAGCAACAAAGCTCCTGTGAAAGCCAAATCACCCGAGCCGGGAGTCAAATTCCACCTGGGCTGAGCCACGGGGCCACAAATGGGGCTTTGAGAGGGAAAGGAAGGGGCAGAGGAGGCAAAAAAACCCCAGCAAATCCCACCTGGGCATTCTCCTAACGCTGCCAAGGGGCCAAAATATTCCCCAGGGGAGCTTTAGGATCCAGCTCAGGCAAAAATAGAAAATTTTCGAGGCTCCCCATGACCATCAGCTGAGAGTGAGGAGCTCTCAGAGCTCCCCCACACGTGCAAAGCCTCCAGCTTTTTGTTTATTTAATGCGGAACCGTCACTTCCAGAGCAAACTTTCACTCGAAAAGTTCATTAAAATCTTATTTTTGCTCCCCAGGGAAGCACTGTTTGGAGCTTCCCGGAGTCGAATTCCTGTTGATGGGAAATGGAGATAAACCAGCGCCCACCTGGCTTTCCATTCATCTCCTTGCTCCGTAAAAAAGGGACCAGTTTGCCTTTTCTTGGAATTTTCAGCTTGCTCCCATCCCATTTTGTTGTGGCCTCAGGCGTGAATGGCCTTAACAGGGAGGTGACACAGGAAAACGTGGGGTTTTTGGGTTTTTTTCCTCACAATTTCAGGCTGGACAGAATTTTTAAGGTACCACTGAAGAGGTTAAAACTCAAAGCCAAATCTCTGGAAAACAAGGGTTTATTCTGCTTTTCACGAGCAAAAAGTACTTCTGAGCAATAAAAAAAAAAAATAAAAATTAATAATAATAAAAAATTAAAAAATAAAATCAGCCCAGCTCTTCCTTCAATAATCCGGCATTTTTCTCTGATTCGGGAAGAAATCCGAATATTTCCAGGTGGCACCTCTGTGCCTCAGTTTCCCACAGAGTCCGGCGAGCAAAGCACCGGAGCAACTCAAAAAAAACCCCAACACCTACGGGCTGAAAAATGGCTTAAAAAATGTATTTACACTGCTGATACCGAGCAGCAAGGCAGCACAAAGCCGAGCACTTGGCAGAGCCTCGGTGACCGGGGGAATTCCCTCAATTTTGGCCTTGCAGGAAGCCCATTTTGCAGCCCTTTAATTCCGCAGCAATCAGAAAAGGAAGCAAAACCCCACATCCTCTCTCTCCCCATTCAGCAGCTCCAGCTGTGTCCTGGCCTCGCTGTGCCTCTTATCTCCCTTCTCCATGGGTTGTCCTCACATTTCCCTCCTTCCCTGGCCAAGAATTCCAACCCAACAACCCCAAGGTCGCCTTCACCTTGTCCCGGCCGAGCCCCTGGGCAAGAGCTTTGTGAATCAAAAACCCCACTTGGCTCAGGAGGAGCCATAAATTTGCATCTGAACCGATCTGCGGGGCTGGTTCTGCTCCCTGGGGGATTTTTAAATGGATTTCAGGGATATGACAGATTTATTTGGCTCAGGAGTTCCCCTGGGCCTGTCTAGAGCCACGCTGGGGTCAGGGGTTAAAGACCCCATATCATAAAAGGCAGGAGTTCGAGGGCTGAGCCTGGATTTTTGGGTTTCTCCAGCATTAATAAGATGCCGGGGTAAAGTGTGGGGTGAGGGGGTTGAATTTATCCCCCCAAACCCCTCCCGTGAGCCGCAGGCTGGAACAGCAGAGCTTTAAACACCGAATGCAGATGCCTGGTGCAGCCTGAGATTATCAGGGAAGGATTTCTGGCTTTTCTCTTTATACCTGCCAAAGCTCCAGCCCTGAACTCTCACCCCCTCCTGGCCCATTTTCCTGGCCGGCAGCTGTGCCTGGTCCAGCTGGATTCAACCCCGGCACCAGCAGCGCCGGGAGGGTCACGAGTGACCGCAGGGGACGGGTCAGAGCCCCAAAAAAGGGGGGTTGGACCCACTGTGCCCTCTGAGCAGGAATCTCTGTGGGATCAGAGAAGGGATCCACGATGCTTTTTGCCTTTTTACCTCGGCTCCTGCACGGATCCCCACAGGAGGAGCCACCAGTGAGGCACAAACGCAGCAGCAGAGCAGCCCCGGGGCTGCTGCGACCCCCAAAACCTTCCCTGGCACCGGCGCCGCTCCCTCTGACTCAGCTGGGTACTCCAGCAGCAACCAGGAGAAGAGGAATATCCGATATTTTCCAGGGAAAAGCACACAGCTGAGAGAGCCCCCGAGCCTGGCAGCAGCCCCCCAGCTCCCCCTTCCCATCCCAAACCTCAGCTCCAGCAGCAGCACGGGCAGGAATTATCCCAATCCCATCTCCTGCAGCCCGCAGCACCCGTGGGATCACAGGATTTGGGGATGCGGCCACCCCCCCCTTGCAAACCAATCCCGGGGGCTCCTGCCCTATCCCTGAGCTCCTCGGGCAGTTTGGGGAAGCTCAGGGGGGTGACCTTGGGGACAGGCAGGAGCTGGCAGCAGGATGGGCAGCGCTGCTCTGGCACACCTGGCACAGCCCTCCGTGCCACGGCAGGTACCTTGTGACTGCTCCTGCCGGAGCTGCGGCGCTTTCTGGGGAAGGGCTTCTATTTTGGGCGGAATGTTTTCACTTGGCCTATATTAAGCACATTCATTTCGCAGTCACAAGGCAGCGCAGAGCGATGCAGGAGCCACTTCTCCTCCGGCAGCAGCTCTGCAGCCTGGCGGCTCCCGGATCCCAGCGCTGCTGCCCGGCCCAGCCCGCTCCTCTCCATGTGCTGCCCGACCCAATCCCGGCCCCATCCCTCCATTCCCACACACCTCTGAGCAATTCCCGTAAATTCCCGGCTGGAATCCCTTCATTAAGCGCTCCCCGCTCCTGGAGA